GAGTCAAAAGAAATTTGGGACAAATTTCACAAAGCCGGAAAATCAAACTATCCAAGGAAAGAAATAGGATTCAGATTCTGATAGACTCACTTGTAAACCATCTGCTTGTTGACTTCAGATTTAAACGTATTTCCTGAATCCTATTGATTTCTGTACATTGACTATCTGATTCACATCCTGATGTTTTATACTGTTCTATCACACAGAAGGGCATCTTTACTATTTTCTCTATGGACATTTTATATAGGTTGGAACTTAGGAGTTTTACAATTACCTGGGAAGGGTCTGGATTTTTTGTTTTTGTGATTGATTTTATTATAAAGTGATTTTTATATCATCATATCACTCACAATTGTGTTTTAAATCTACTGAACTGGAAATAGAAATGCAGCAAACTGTCCCAGAACTAAACATGTTTTTTAATTTTTATTTTATGTGTATAAGTATTTTGCCTGCATGTGTGTAAATGCACCACATGTGCAGTGCTCTCAGAGACCAGAAGAGGGAGGGTGGAAGTAGGACAAAGCTAGAAACTCTCAAAGTCCACTAGCAATGACATGATTCCTCAGCAAGGTCACACAATCTAAATCTCAGTGTCACCAACTGGGGCCAAGTGTTCTCATACATGAGCCTACGCAGGACACTTCTCATTCCAACCACCACAGGTTGTTTCCAGCTTTGACTATAAAGCTGTCGCATCTTTTGTGTTAGCGTGTACAGGCTTTTGTGTTAGCATATGTTTTCATGTCTTTGGATAAATGTGTCTAGGAGTAAAATTTGTAGTTTTTATTGTAAGTGCTTGCTTAGCTTTGGTAGAAACAGCCTAACTTTTCCTGTGTGGCTATATCATATCACATTCCCATTTTAATATGTGAATGACCCTGATTCTCCACATCCTCAGCAGCATTTGGAAGTTATTTTAAAAGAGTATTCTGATAGGCTAAACATGAAAAAATTTCAGATAATCATTGTAGGTTTAATTTTCATTTCTCCAATGGTTAGTGATGTTGAAAAACTTTTTATTTGCTTATCTTTTATCTTTATTTTTTGGGGGGGAAATAGCTGCTCAAATCCTTTGTCAGATTTTTAAAAATAATATTTTTATTAATTCTCTGAGAATTCATACAATGTAATTTGATCATGTTCAACACCCTCCCCCATCTCCTCTCAGATTCACCCTCCAATTCCCTAACACCTGAACTTGTTCTTTATTTTAAAAGTCCGTGGAGTTCAGTTTATGTTCCTCATACTCTTGGGTATGGACCAATCCCCTGGAGTGTGAGCAACCTACCACAGGTCACACCCTTAAAGAAAACAATTGGACTCTGACTCTCCTCTCCCAGCAGCTAGCAACTGCCCGTAGCTCCTCAGCTGAAGGTAGAGCTTCATGCCATGCCCACCTCCCCTGCTCCATGCTGGAGTTTTGTCTGGCTTGAGCTTGCACAGGTTTTGTACAGGGAGTCACAGCTGCTGAGAGTTCATAGGTACAACTGAACTGTTTTGTCTGGAGAAAAATCAGTTTCATGGTAGTCATTCACCTCCTCTGTCTCTTAAATCTTTCTGGCCCTCTTCCTTGAGCCCTAAGCCTGGATGGGGGAAAGTAGTATAGATGGTGTCCCATTCAGGGCTGAGCACTCCGCACTCTCTTGTTCTCTGCACATTGACCAATTGTTGGTCTCTGTGTTCATCATTTCGGCAGACTTTTAAGCACTCAAACCCATCTTCATATCAATTCTCCCATGAGGTTTGGACTATGCTTATAAATTTCAGTTGGCTCTAGTTCTAGAGAGACTAATTCATCCATTTACATATATAGTTTTCCTAAAGAGTTATGAAATAATATACTATATAACATTTCAGACAAATTCCTCTTTGCAGTTTATAAGAACATATTCATCTTTACTGTAAAACTATTTAACTTTAAAAAAACAGAGGAATAAAACACATTTTCAAAAGTCCCATCAACTAGAGATAATTACTGCTAACATTTGGTTAGTTTATTTCTAGACGTTTACATTTTCTCTATAATTAAAATATGCTGGCAATTCATACTCTGCACCTTCTCACAAGTCATTGACATTCATATTACAGATTTTATCACTTTAATACTGGCATTGTTAACCTATTGTATATGTGTGTTTATTTAGCTAGCTTCCCTAATAGTGGATATTTAGGTTACTACTATAAGCAAAGGTTTAATGAATGTTCTTATAAGGATAGCTTTTGGGAGTTTTGTAATTATTTTCTTACCTTAAATCTCTGGAAGAATTGCTGAGTCAAAAGTCATACACATATATGCATACTAAGTATACATTAACATATGCATACACATATACATATATCAGTTTGTTGTTTACAAACTGCCTTTTAGAAAGATGTGTCCATTTCCTTTTCCACCAATATTGTCTGTAAGGCTCTTAAACACATCTCTCCTCTGTTTTTCAAACAAAATTTCTTTTCTTTCCTTTTAAAGATTGGAACATATCAGGCAAAGTAACTTTTTTTTTTACATTTTTTCAATGGGTCTGAGATGCAAGCAGGAGTCTATGAGGCTAGGTCAGTAAACATACTGTAAAATGCTCATCTTCTGGGACATGTTTTGAGAATGTGATTGACTTCAATGGCTTTATAATCTGTCTGCCCAGTCACTACAATAGTGACCTTAAATGGTGAGTACAATGAAGACATTCCTTGTCAATGGCTTTATAATCTGTCTGGCCTGTTACTACAATAGTAACCTTAAATATATTTTTAAAAATTAATTATTTTTAATTTATGTGTATGAGTGCATTGCCTGCATTTATGTAAGTGTACCCCTGTTGTGCAATACCATGCAGGTCAGAAGAGGGCGTTGAATTGCCCTGGAACTGGAGTTATAAACAGTTGTTAGCTGTCACACGGGTGCTGGGAATTGAACCCGGATCTTAACCTCTGAGCCATCTCTCCAGCCCCACGATAGTGACCTTGAATGGGGACTGATAAGGTCAAGTAGCATAATGAACACACTTCCTTGTCTGTGGAAAAATTAAACAAAGTTCAGGCTACTGTCAGCATGTACCAACTACAGAGATGGAAAGTTATAGCCACAAAAGTTAAGCGATTTATTGTGAATTGGAAGATACTGCAGTTTGGGGTCAATTGAATGTTCCCCCCTTTTTTTTATTTGGTCGAGCTATCAAAATTTAGTATTTTAATTGTAATATGGAGAAAGGACACCTCATACTGACATAGTCCCAGATTTGAAAGGTCAAGAAAAATTATTTTGGTAGTCTAGGAGCTTTTTTCACAAGGCCTAGCAGAAACTTGATTTAATGCATGTGCCTTTTTTCCCCATATGCTGGCATTAATATATTTTTGCTTACAAATTTCCCTAGATGGATTAAGCAATACAATGACTGAATGCAAAAGAGTATGTTGCACTAATTAGGAAATGTGTTCATGATCTACATTAGAAAAAAGATTCAGTACAGAACACATCTTGTTTATGTCTAGTCCTTGTTTAGTAATTTTTTTCATTGCTAGTTAGCAATTTATATACACTTCTAATTTTCTTTTAAAGCAGCATCCTCCTTCCCCAATTCCACAGGATTTTCCTGGATTGTAGAAAATGAAGTTTTTCAAGGTACTTAACTTTTTGAGTGCTAAAAGTTTTATAGCTTCTAATTTATGGCATTAGATATAGTAGTGGAATTTTTAGCTACTGTGTACATTTTTAGTATTAGTGTAAGAGCAAAATGCCTCGAAGTGTGGGGTTTATCCTTTTCTAGGGATTTCAGCCTCTATAGGTACATTATCTGACGTACATTTCTAACATCATCAAGAGAAGTAGGTGGAGTTGTGGAGTGAGTCATTTCATTGTGACTTTGGGAAAAGTTCCTAACATCTCAGCTTCATTATCTCTAAGACCAAGAGGTTGACTTGGAGACTCCAAGAAGATCCTTCAAATACAAAATTACATGATTTTGTAATTAAGATTATGTGAAATAAAAAGTCATACTTTTTTCAGAATCTAAAAGATCAAGAAAATAGAAGGGGGTCTGTTTGGGCAGAGGAAGAGGATCAGTAGGAGGGACAAAACAGGATAAGGGGGGATACTATATGATATATGAAAATGCTGTAATAAAACCCCTTATCTTGTACAATTAATATATACTAATAAAGTCTTTTAAATCTGACAAAAATTTACACTATTTTTGCTAGGCATTATTCTTTATTCTTATAAAGGCCAAGCTTAAACTTTTAAATTTGAAAAACTTGGCGACTATGCACAAAATGTAGTTAATGATATAGGGTTCATTTGCTATGCAAATAGAAAAGTTCAAAGTGCAGCCCTGCCTCGAAAGTCCTTAGCCGATTAAGCTCAGTTCTCCAAATCTCTGTTTGTGACTTCGGGTTTGGGGGCTAATTCTGTCTAAGCCTTAAAGGGTGGAGGTCAGGGTGGTCTACTTATTTTAGGCCAGCTACTCTGAAGCCTCGAGGGTGGGAGTCTAGTCTCAGGCAGTTCTCTGCTGTTGCCAGACTTGGTCTCTAAATGACCAAAAAAGGCGTCAATAGCAGTCGCGGGAAAAGGGCTTGGAATTCCTCTCCACCACTCCCCTCATCTCAGATTCGCAGCTGGGGAGGTCAAGGCTGCTCCAGGCCAGAGGCGCGTCCCGGCCAGGGGCAGATCCCGCAGGTGACAGCCCCTCTGTGGTCTCCCCGGTAGGGAAGGGGCGTTCCCATCCAGCGGTTAGCGCCACGCCCCTCGCCCGCCGCAGGTACTAATCCGGGCGGGGCCAGCAAAATCTCGCAGCGCTTGAAGTTCCTGTTGCTAAGCGACGAGCGGGAGGCGGGGCCGGCGGGGTTAGCGCGGCTCTCAGCCCACAGCGCGTCCATGCGGGCTGGAGGCCGTACCGTCGCCCTCCCTCCTTCTCGGGGCGGTGTCTGGAGCAGGTGCCGACCCCGCCCTCACGCGCTGTACGGGCTGCGCACGCGCGGTGCGTGGGCAGCCTTTGCCCGGCCGGGTTCGCGGTGGGGCTGCGCGCCGGGTCAGCGGCTGCGGCGGCACAGCCGGACGTGGTCGGGAGCCGGCGAACCGAGGCTGGTCGAAGGAGGCGGAGCACGAGGGACTGCCACGGCGCCCTCCGCTGCCGACGGAGATGGTCTTCGAGTCGGTGGTCGTGGACGTCCTAAACCGCTTCCTGGGGGACTACGTGGTGAACCTGGACACATCCCAGCTGTCTCTGGGCATCTGGCAAGGTAACGAGGCCGCCGCCCGCCGTGTGGCCGTGGCTTCCCGGGGCTCCGGGCCAGCCCGGCGCAGCCACCTGCAGCTGTCCGCCTCGCCCTTCAAGTTACGTAAAGCCGGGCGGCGGAGGAGGCGCAGCAGAGCAGCCCTTCGCGAGCCGGCCGTGACCTGTGGCCCCCGCTGCCTCCGCCGGGGTCTCGCCCTGTCCCTGTCCCCCGGTTGTGACGAAGGCTCTCGGGAGCTCACGGGAGCTCGCTGGGGAAGGCCAGGCGCTGAGCCGGAGTCGCCCTCCGCTTCCGTCCGGAGCCTCACGTGTCGCTGCTCTTCGCTGCTCCGGAACCTCGCTTCGGGCTGCCTGCCTGGGTTCGGGTGATAAGGAAAAGGAAACCGCCGCTCGTGTCACTCCGAAAGAGTCGCTTGTGTGTTCAGGCCGTAGCGTGGCCCGACCAAAGAGGGATGTGTTCCGTGTCGCAAGGCTTTGGAGTTTTGTGGGTCCCAATAGATGAGTTTAAAAAGGGGTAGGGGGCAGAGAAAAGAAAATGGCAAAAAACAGATGAGCAAAAACTAAATGGGCATGCGGGGCTGCGGTGATGGCGAAGGACTGGATCTCTACTTTGTATCCCCTAACTGCAGTTCTTTACCTTCTTGAGTGTTATTTAGTGTTTAATTTTTAGTGCTTCTGTATCATGCTCTTGTTTATTTTATGCATCTATTAGCTATTAGAGTCCTTTTTGAAGCGTAGGTCCCAAGCCAAAGTTAGGATTAATTGAGTAAATATTAACCTGTGCTGCTTCTCAGTTGCAAAGTGAAAATACTATATCTTGCCCCTGTATACCTCAGAAAGAAGCCTTCGAACTGGCTGAACTATATTTGGATTTGTAGTGAAAAGTTGCTTCTACATTCAAGGTCCGCCACCTTGGGTAGAGTGTGATTTATTGATGAATTTATTTAAAGTTCACATAAAGTAAAATCCACTCCTGTGTGTATAGTTCTGTTTTAAGGAATGCTGAGGGGCATGTAGGCACAGTAAGGACACAGAGGAGTCCATGTCTGCAGGATTCCTTCTGCTGGTTCTTTGTTGTTGATCCCATTTCACCTGACAACCTCTAGTTTCCAGAGTGTTGTAAATGGAATTGTATGGGTTGTAGATTCCTGAGTGGCTTCCTAACAAATGTGTCCCCTAAAGGCTCACATGTGCTGTCTCCCATGAGGTAATAGGGAGTGTGTGTATGGGGGTGGTGGGGATATCCTCCAGCTGCCATTATGCTGTTTCAATTTTCAGCCTCTATACTTCTTTGTCTGTAAGTACCCATTCTCAAGTATTTCATCATAGTAACAAACAAACCCTCAGCTAATACAGCGTGACACTGCTTTTTGAAGTGGCTATGTCATTTTGTACCTTCACCAATGCTGCATCAGGATTTAATGACACTATACCATCATGAGCATTTGACATTTTTCAAGTGTTTGTGTACGTCGTATGTACGTATGGGTATTTGCGTGCGCGTGTGTGTCTCTGTGTGTGTGTGCATGTGTGTGTCTGTGTGTGTGTGTGTCTCTCTGTGTGTGTATGCAGACCTGAGGCAGCAGACCTTAGGCGTCTTCCATTGATGCATAGTCTTTCAGTTGAACTTGGAGCTCACTATTACTGCTAGTCTTGCCACCCATTTTACTCCATGGCAGCCTTTGAATGCTCAAATTACTGGTGGGCTTTCAGGCCAACCCAGCATTTGTGTAAGGTTCTGGGGATCTGAACTTGAGTCCTCACTTTTGTGCGGCAAGCTTACCTTGCTGAGTCATCTCCCCCACTCTGAAAAAAGTATTTTTTAAGACAGTCCAATAGGTATGTAATGGTAAAGTATTTTGGTTTTAATTTGCACTTCCCTTGTTATTAGTGATGTTGGGTATCTTTTCATATTCTTTCTTGTTTTTTTTTGTCAGTGAAATGGCCAGTTTTTTTTTTTTTTTTTTTTTTTTGGCTTTAAATTGGATTGCTTGGTCTTTCTTTTCCATTGGGCTTTAATTTACACATCAAATTCTACCCTTGAAAATGTACAACTCAGTATTGTTGTTGTTGTTTTATAGTAACAAAACTACAGCCATCACCACTAACTCCAAAACAGCACATTTAGACACCTACCACTCAAAAGACCTCATGTTCGTTAGCACTCTTATCTTCTCTCTCATTCATGTCTACCCCATGCTTGGCAGTCATTAGACCTTTCTGTCTATGTGTTTTCTGACTCGACATTTAGGAGTCATACAATATGCATCCTTTTGTTTGTGGCTTTATGATTTAATTTATCTCTATATTGAAGGATGGATGAACTGTTGTATGGATGCATCATATTTTATATCAACTCATTAGTTGGTGGACATTATTTCCAACTTTTGCATATTATAGCTAATGCCACTATGAGCATTCATGAACAAGTTTTTTTTTTTTTTAAATAGTCCTGTTTTAAGTTCTCATTGGTATTTATGTAGAAGTGGCATTCCCGAGACATGTGGTGACACTGCTTAAGCTTTTGAGGACTGTCAAACTCTTCCAAAGTTTTTGTTTCTTTACTTAATGTTCTTTATATTGTGGATACAAGTCGTTTGTTAAAGAAGTGATTGGAAATATTTTCTCTCAGTCTTCTATTTACAGAGCAGACACTTTGAATTTTGGTGATTTACCAAATGTCTTCAGTGAATCATGGTTTTGGTGTTTTATTAATAAAAATCTTCTCCTAACCTAAAGTTAAAAAGATGTTCTTCCATGTTTTCATTGTAGAAGCTTTATACAAAAGCCTTTAGCTTTCCGTCTATTTTCTGTATAATGTATGTGCTACAAGTTGAAGGTTGAAGTTTGTTTGGACATGCTCACATGAACTGTTATCATCCCAGAATAAAAGAAAGAAATTAAGGCATTTCCCCAATACATTGATGGGGGTTATGTACTCAGTGGGGGAAACTCTGATACAGATTTTTTTTTTTTTAAAGCAAAGCAAATGTAGATTAAGGGAAAGTAAGGAAAACTCCTGAGAGTGGGAGGGGGACTCCAAGGGAGGTATACCCTCTGTTACAGACTTCAGATTTTATCTGATGACATGCTTAGTTTGGGGGCTGGTGGAAACTAGTGGTCCATAAACCCCATTCCAAAGTTTTCAACTGATAGTTGAAAGGAGTGTTAGGTCAGACACAGGTGGGCAGTGAATGGGTATTCAGAGGGCTAAGATAGCTCAAGATAATTTGACTCTGGCCTATACTATTCTAACTCTTCACAATCCTAAGTTATGATCAGTCAATCAGCCTTGCAGAATCTTTAGTATAGGTGTTGCTTTTTTTGGAGGGACTTCAGTTCATAGTTCTACCTGTTAGCCAAGCATGAAGGCCAGATGTTGTTTTATGTCCCACAGCAATAGGAAGACTCATTTCCAGGATTTGATAAAGATGAGGTTGAGTAGGCAGGAAAGCATTTTCAGGAGAGGGAAATACTTGTTAAAACCATAATTGAAGAAGCCCCTGGGTCATAGTAACATTATTAGGAATTATGAGCTGAGTCTGATTTTTTTTTCATCCTTTGTATCTGACATATTTACATGGACATATAATAGGGATAGTATGCTTAAAGTAATCAAGAACATAATATGACCTAACAAAAAGCAGGCATTTTAACCAGTCAAAAATCATGCTCTTTTAATTAGACTGACTACATGTTTTTCCCCATGTGTTACTGTGATTTATATATTAAAATATTTTATGTTTGAAGTATTTGAAATAATTATTGTATTAATTTTAGTTTTTAGTGAGGGAGGTTCATTGATGAGAATTGAGAGATGCATTAACGTCTTTAATCCCAGCACTCAGGTTACAGAAGCAGGCGGATCTCTGTGAGATCGAGGCTAGCCTGTTATACACAGCAAGTTCTAGGACAGGCGAGGACAGGGATACCCTGACTAATAATTTCATCTGTCACATTATTTTTATATTTTACCAGAATCCAGTTTGGAGAAATAACTGTATAGACACATAGAGAAAAACATCAGATACCAATACAGAATCGTTTTAAGTTTTTTTCCCCAGTAAAATTGACATTTCCTCATATACCAAGTATTATAAAGACAAGAGTAGTAACAAGAGGCCAGACTTGTGGGCAATCAGGATCACATGGATTCTGTAAGCATAAAAAAATCTTATTTCTTATTTTGCAATCAGAAAGGGAAAAGGAACCTCAGTAGAAATCATTTTTAATATTCCCTGTCTAAATACTCATTGGGAAAATATGAGTGTTTAGCTTGTTTTTTTCACCCTGATTAAGTGTACTATGTCCACCCTGAAGACTCATTTAGTTGGGAAACATGGCTCATAAAAGATATAGTCTCTTGGTGTAAGAGGCTAGTTTTTATTTGGCCAATTTTGATTCATGAATGCTATTGCCATTGGATACTGATTGTTTTTGTATAATTTTGATAAAAAGAATAAACCCAAAATCCTAACAAGAGTTGATATAGTCACTCTAAGTGGGCTGAAATTTAAGTATGATACAGTGCTTCCCAGAGTTGTTAATTTATTGTATTGTGATATTTTAATAGCAAAAGCAACATAATAATCCAGTTAGTTATACCAAGTTAATATTCTTCACTTTTTGGGGGGGGTCTTTTTGACACAGGGTCTCCTGTAGCCCCATCTGTCCTGGAATTCACTATGTAGACCAGGCTGGCCTTGAACTCACAGAGATCCACCTGCTGGGAATCCTGCTCTGGCCTCTGCATTAGTGTATAAGGATATGGGCACTCATACATACTGTAACCAGAATCAGCAATTACATGAAGAACCTCCAGGAATAGAGCATAGTCTCCATGGTAGAGTTTTGAAAGCCCCTTTGGTGTATCAGTCGGAGAGCAGCAACCTTTAATAACCAATGCTCTGCAAGTATTGGAAGCATGTAGTCAAATCTGTTTTTGTGTTTCACATTTTTTTTTTTTTTTTTTTTTTTTAAGTAGGAAGAAATTGTTGTTTTTGACTGTAGGAGTTTGTTTTTAGAGATCCCCACCCACAAATTGAATTCCTTTTGAAAGATTTGAAATCTGTCAATCTGAAAAACTGGACTTTTAAAAAATTCAAGTTACACTGAATATGACAATCCTTTTGTGAAGGTAGTGAAAAATTGGAGTCTTTTTAAACTTGGAAGATTTCATTCAAGTAAAGTAGGAGGAGGGTAAGACATGAGTCACAATGAAAACATGATTCTCTTTCTTTTGAGACAGTGTCTCCCCGTATCTTCCTGGCTGGCCTTGAACTCTCAATGTAGACTAAACTGGTCTCCAGCTCACAGAGATCCCCCGTCTCTGCCTCCCGAATGCTGGGATTAAAGGCATGTACCACCACACCCAGCAACAAAAACAGGATTGATGAGAGAATGTAACATCCTCATTTGTAGTTTCACTGAAACCAAAATTGGTATTATTCCTATTATTTAAGGAAATATATCAGAGCAAATTCTAATTATCTCAATTAAAAATACCTAAATATAAAAGGATTTAAGAAATAAGTTATAAAACATGAGAGTGTAACTATTACTGTAGTTGCAGTTATCAACCAGCTTGTTTGAAATCTGTGTGGATATGTTCTCAGGAGTTGGCACAAGTTCGAGGTGAGAAATACAAAATCCAAGATTTGGCCAGGTATGGTGGGTGCATGCCTTTAATCCCAGTACTTGGGATGGAGAGGCAGGTGGATCTCTGTGAATTCAAGGCCAGCCTGGTCTACATAGTGAGTTCCAGGCCAGCTGGGGCTATAGAAAGACCCTGTCTCAAAAAGACCAAAAATCCAAGTGTTTATCTACAGAAGTTTGTGGAAAATACCTAACAGGTTCTTTTTTTAATAAAAAATTATGTATTATTTTTATTTGTTTATGAGTGTATTGCCTGCATGTATGTAAGTGCACCTGTGTTGTACAGTGCCTGCGAAAATCAGAAGAGAGCATTAGATGTCCCTGGAACTGGAGCTACAGATAGTTGTTAGCTGCCAGGTGGATGCTGGGAATGGAACTCTCATCTTCTACGAGAGCAGCCAGTGCTCTTACCCACTCACCCGTTTCTCCAGCCCCCAATGTGCAAATTTTTTGTTTAGTTTTATTGTTTTGTTTTGTTTTGTTTGCAACAGGGTCCCCTGTAACCCAGCTGGCCTAAAACTTGCTATGTAGAGCAGGCTGGCCTTCATCTCACAGAGATCCACCTGCCCCTGCCTCCTGAGTGCTGGAACTAAAGGCATGCGCTGCCATACCCAGCTGATAAACTTTTTAATCAACTTTGATTTGTAAAAGTCCCTAATGATATTGTACAATGTTTTTCTGTAGCAAAGATAGCTTATACAGTTCTTTGCCTATTTTTGAATGTGTGTAGTGTATGTGCATATGTGTATAGATGTTCCCATGTGTGGGTACGCAGTGTATGTGGGTGTGCTTGGAAGCCTGAGGTTCATGTGAGGTGTCATCATTTGCTCTCCACTTTATTAACTGAACCAGGGTCTCAAAATGAACTTGGAGCTCCATTCCAGCTAGTCTAGCTAGTCAGCTTGCCCTGGTGAATCTTTTTCTCTGCTTCCTAGTTACTGGGATTACAGGTGACTGCCATGTCTGACTGGTTTTAAGTGGGTTCTAGGGTACCAAACCGGTCCGTATCCTTGCATGGCAAGCATTTTATCCACTGAGCTTTCTCTCCAACCCCACTTGCCTATTTTTATAGAACTCCTGGCAATTATTTTATAAGGAGGCAAATTGATATTTTTCAAACAGGATAGGTCTTAGATTTAGAAGGACTAATAGGACTATCTTCTGCTAAAGAAGCCAAAAGCTTTAGTTTATTTTGACAATTAAAATAAGTTTTAAAGTGCCTTTTGTTAACTCAACCACCAGTGTAGAGGATTAAAGATTGTAAGCACAATGAAAAAATTTGTACAGTAGGCCAAGTTTTACAGACATACTGTCCATTACAATAGATTCCATGGTTACTATGTAATTTAGCAGGAACACCTTAGTTGTTTCCAATAAAATTTTTCCCACACTAAGGCAAAGAAGAGACTCATGAGTGGCAGACTTTAACCCAATGAGAAAACATAGAAAATTAGTATTAAAATTTGTATTTTTCTGGAGAAGGCATTTCAGGCCATTCATGCTCCTAGTTGGTTAGTCATTGATTGTTGGATTCTTTGTATAATCAGACCAGTAAGGAGATGGTGCCACTAGGATGAAGCTCACGAGATCTGTAATGAATTGAGTCATGACGCTGTAACCACTGGGTTGAAGAATGGAATACAAGTCCACAGAACAATCACAGGTCTGAATGTCAGTATGACTATAAACCTTAAAACTGTGAAAATGACCCTGAAGAATAAAATACCTATACAATTGGAAACACTGCATTTGATTTTTTAAATTTATTTTTATTTTATGTGTATGACTGTATTGCCTGCATGTATGTAAGTGCACCCATGCCATGCACCCATGTCGTGTAAGTGCACCCATGTCGTGTAAGTGCACCCATGTCATGTAAGTGCACCCATGTCGTGCAGTGCCTGCGGAGGACAGAAGGGTGTTAGATCCCCTGGAACTGGAGTTACGGACATTGTTTGCCACCATGTGGATGTTGGGATTTGAACTTGGGTCTTTTGCAAGAACAGCCAGTGCTCTTAACCGTTGAGCCGTCTCTCCAGCCTGAAACACTGTATTTGAGAAATAACATTTGGTGTTTAATTCTACCAGACAGCTTGTCTTTAGATGCACTACTTATGATGTTAAAAGGTGAAATCTAAGAAAATGTAAACTGTTATAGGAAGAAATGGAGGTCACAAGGTAGAAGAGGACAGGGCTGTGACAGAGGCAGAGGGACTCCTAGGTGATAATGTCTCAAGATTACTGCTTCAAAGTGATAAGCAAATTAATTTGTGATACTTTTTGTACAGGTTTTGTCAGTTTCTAATAAACATAAATGTGGGGCAGTTGTTTACTGACTTTATCAAATTAAAGCTTTAATGTTTCTGATGTATTTTTAAATTAACATAGTAGTAAGTAGATAAGTCACTGAATATTTTATGATTGTATGTAATATGTATGGAGCTTCTTTATTTTACATGCATCAAATATGCATTTTATTTATTTCTTTGATTCCATTGACCATAGTCTTCTCAAAGGTGAACTAAATTATTTTGGATATTTCAGAAATTAGAGTCCTTATGCCGTGGGATGTAAAATTTTTTTTTCTGTAGTTTTCTTCCATGGAACTTTAGGGATGCAGTAAAAGTTGATGGTTGTCTCCTAAATGAGAAGTCATTGACTTTAGACTGGGATTATTGCTGGGTAGTTGAACATTTGCATAGCATGCATGAGGCCCCAGGTTCAATTATCATCACTGAAGAAAAAAACAAAAACAATAAAAATTCGAAGTAGATTGATTTTTTTTTCTATCATTAAAAACACTTATTTGTATTTTTATGTCAGGGCATTTGGATAAAATTTAATTGGTGGGTTTTAAATGGCCCATTTAATAGATAAAACACAAAGTCCTTTTTAAGCAAGCTTTATTTTTGTAAATGCAAAACCTTACTGTATAAGAGGTTAGGTTTTTGTTTTATACAGTATATTTAATTCAGTAACATTTTAATTACAGGAGGCTTAGTCACACCCACGCCACCTTTCCTTAAGTTCTCATTCTCATAAATCTTCGTGTGCCATTTTGTCCTCACCTTTCCGTTTCCTTTTTTCTTTAATTTCTATTTTATTTCTTGTTATTGTATATGTTAGTGCAGGTGTACACGAATCACAGTGTGCTTGTGGAGATCAGAGAATAACTTTGAGGAGCCCATTCTTTCCTCCTCCCACTGTGGTTCTGGGGATCCATCTCCGGTCACATGCCTTCATTGTTGAGCCATTTCACTGGCTTTTTTTTTTTTTTTCCTTATTGAGATGGCCTTATTTAGCTCAGGTTGGCCTCCCAACACAGTATGTAGATGAGGATGACCTAGAACTCCTGATCTTCCTGACTTGACTTGACTTGCAAAGTACTGGGATGACAGGTGTGCTAGGGTTACAGGCCCAGCTTCTTTCTCCTTTTTGGAAAAATCCTTTAAGACAATGTCTCATTTTATCATACAAAATCCTTTCTCATCTAAAAGAATTTCCTTTTTCCTTTAACTCCTTTTACCAAAAATATGTTCCATACCTATAACCTTTCATAGCTTGGCAATTTCTTTACAGAATATTTGAATTTAGAAATATTAACAAAATAAGGTCCCTTATTTTAATGAAAACCCAGGAAGCTGTATTGGAAAACATGGAAAATATGTTAATAGTCCTGGAAACACTTTTATAATTTATTTAACCAGCAGATTTAAAGCAACTGATGTGTTAGATTTGATTAAATCCTGTTGGTGGCCAGGAAGAAATCCTAATCTCAGACTTTCTAAGACTGCAAAGAAAGTGAGCTAGTAATAATAGATTCTGTTTCTGTTATATATATTGGTTGTGATTTTTTTCTCTAGTTTGGGATTTTAAATGATGCATATTAAAATTATTAAATGAAACACAGTTGTGTCATGTTTTCTTTTTTTTTTTTTATTAAGGAGCTGTGGTCCTCAAGAATCTTGAAATTAAAGAAAATGCCTTGGTAGGTTTTGGCTATGAAAATTTTGCTAGGGCATTTAATTAGTATACTTGTTCTTAATTTAAATTGCCACCATTTGCTTTTTTTGTTTGTTTGTTTGGTTTTTTTTGGGGGGGGGGTCTTTTTGAGACTAGATCTCAAGCTGGCCTGGAGCTCAACAGGATCCACTTGCCTCTGCCTCCCAAATTCTGGGATTAAAGGCATGCACCACCATGCCTGGCCTGCCACCATTTACTTTAGAGAGGGAAGCCTCTATGAATTTTGACTTGAGAATAATACAACTAAATAATTAAATTCAAATGTATATTGAATGTAAAAAAATGTGCAAGGTAATTAAAAACTCTGAAGTAATTTTAGGAAGAAAAAATGTAATCATTTATATTGTTGTTTGTATGTACTAATTCTTTACAAATTCATTTTTCTTCTTAGAGTGAACTGGATGTACCATTCAAAGTTAAAGTTGGTCATATAGGTAAACCATATTTATTATTGAAATATTATCCTTGATGGGCATGCAACTAAAGTAATTGACTTGTTATCTCTGTAATGTGATCTTATTAATGTTTCTGAGGATTAACTGAAAATACAGTGTGTGTGTTCTTGTTTAGGTAAACTTAGCTGTGTAACTTAAAAATATTGTGACTTAAAAATATTCTCTGACCAGTAATTGCTTTCTGTATAGTTAAGAAATGGTATGTCCAGGCACTGTGACTAGAAGTTAATATGAATATTTATTTGTGCTGCAAGAAGTTGTTCTAGGTTCCTTGAAAATGCTATGCTGTTTCTTGTTTTGGATTATTTTACCCATGTTTGTACATACTTTAAGTATATCGCTAAAACAGAAACTAATTAAATGTAAGGTTTTAACATATTCATTAAAATTTTGTCTGTTAGGATTTTTATTTTATGTTGTATATTGGTCATAGAAGATGATGATGATGGTATATTTAGTTGGGAGTTACAAATATTTTTGTTAGTTTCTGCAATAGGGTTTGTATAGTGTTATTGAAGCCGTGTTGGTGTTACTGGGGAATAGATACTTGCAAAGCTTGCATAAATTATGTGAAGACATTCTCCACAATTTTGTGTACTATCCTTATAGTTGGTATTAGACTGTATGCCACAGAAAAATTTCATTTGGCATTACTAAAATTTAAATTCAGTCCCATCCTTCCTGAATTTAAAGGCAGTTTAACAGTAAGAAGGGAAAAATGTCACCAATTATTTTTCCTCAACATCTTAAAATTTTTTTGCATATTTCTGAAATTTACACGATTAATTTTAAAGACTTAAAACTATGGTATATGGGTTTTTTATATACAAGTAGGTTTGACCTCATTTATTTTTTATAGCACAATAAGATTACATATTTGGATATAGTGGAATAATCTCATTATTACATTGTAAAAAAATATAGCAATATATATGTGTATATGTATGATGTATTTATACTTGTATGTATATATGTATAAGGAAAGTAGATACACTTATTTTCTTTAGAACTTGCCTTTTGTCTTGTTTAAAAACGACAAGGTAATTTTCAGTAATATGAGATAGACAGTTTACTAAGCAGGATACTTTTGGGAATCAATGAAGGGGTTACTTGTATATCTTTCATATAGCACTTTTCATTCCTTATTATTCTATAAACATATGTATTATTTTTTGTTGTGTCTTCACCACTTAGTATATTGCATGATATATTTGTTTAATGAAAAAGTACCCATTTCTGAATTAATGGTCCAGGAGTACAATCACTGTTATAGGAATGTATGCTTCCCTCGACATTATTGCTTGTTTTAGGATTCTTTCAGAGATTTCTTCTAATTCTTTATGGAAAATGCATTGGGAAATGTAGGTTAAATGAACAGTTCTTGTCATTATTTTTATGTAGGTAATCTGAAACTTATTATTCCATGGAAAAATCTTTATACTCAACCAGTTGAAGCTGTTTTGGAAGAAATTTATTTACTCATAGTGCCGTCTTCTAGTACGTAAAAATTTAAACATTATAAATTAAATTATTTTGTGGGGGATGGAAAAAATCTTTATATTTTATAATTATTTTTGCTCCATATACTTTTGGTGAATATTTTGTGATTTTTAGCATCTAAATTTGGGGTTTGTTGGCTCAAGTTTTTTGCTGCAAATTGATTTTTTTTTAAATTTCAGTAGATTTTTGTTTGACGTATTTGATTATCTTTAAGAGTAAATTTTGGAATCAGTATATTTAAGTTAGTTGAGATTATTTTTTATGTTTCTTGTAGGAATAAAATATGATCCTGTCAAGGAAGAAAAACAATTCATGGAAACAAAACAACAAGAATTAAAAAGAATAGAAGAAGCAAAACAAAAAGTAGTAGATCAAGGTAAAATAGGAGTGGTGATACAGGGTCTAAATATTTGCTGTCATAGAAAGTAGAAAACAGTCTTACTACATGGAAAATCATATGGTTTGTGTGCTTTTACCTTGCCAAAATGTAAGGCAATTAATAATTTAACTTATTACAAGGGTAAGGTCAGTTTTTAATAATAGAAAGTTTATCAGGTATATTTTTTAAACCTTTCTAGCTTTGCTTTTATATTCCCTTTACATTAACTCTTTACTCTTTTGAATATAACTTAGTCCTTTGATGTGCTTTTTAAAACCTTAATCTGTTTATTTGCTCTCTGGCTTCCTAGTTAACCTACATCTCATGGTTCAGTATTTCAGCCCATTAATATCAGTGGAAAAGGTGTCCCACAGAAATCTAATCCTTTCCACTTGTCCTCTGTTTACTATAACACCAATGACTTTGTCTATCTTTAATTTTTTTTTTATTTTCGATTATGAGTATGTGCCTGTGTGTATGTGCATTGGGTCCCCCTAGAGCTGGAGTTAAAGGTGCTATAAGCTTCCGGATGTGAATGCTAGACACAGAATTCAGTTTTCTGAAATAGCAGTATGTACTTTTAACTGCTGAGCCATCTTGTCATCAGCTGACTTCTTTTTGCCTTGAAGTTACCTTTATTTTTCACTGAATTTTTGTGCATTTCATACTAAGTGAAGAAACATAGACTCAGAAAAACATTTTTGGATCTTAGCACCAAACCCTTATATGTGAATATATATTGTGATGTAACTGCAGGAACCAGGAAAATGGAGAGAAATCATGGCGTTAAAGGGAAAGAAAGAGCCCAAGAGAGTGGGATAGTAGGAAACATGTTATCAAGTGGGAAATGGGGGAAATGTGGATGTTTAACTGGGAAAGGAATAGGAAAGGATATACAAGGTATCATGGGGCTAAAGGGTAAGAAGGATGCCAACAGAGAGGCGATAATACTATATAGGTATTATCAAGGGGAAAATGAGGTACTTTATCTGGGGAAGAGGAGGGATGTTAGAAAGGGAGATAGAGACTAGAGATAAATGAAGTTTAGGTGGTATGAAAAACCTGATGGAAATATATTAGCTCAAAAACCTACTGAAAAATACACATACAATGTTTGAACCTGAGTGTATGTGTGTACTTGAAGGCTATATAACAAGAAACACAGTGCCAGACGAGAGAAACCTCCTTTGAGTTGTTGGTCAAGAGACTCCAAAAATGAAACAGGCTATTGCCACAGCCCTTGATTATCTCCCAGAACCTGAAGGTAAGACCCCATTGCTGAACACAGGACAAACTTCAGACACAGGACTTGGAGCAGTGGAGCTGGAATTGACCTGGAGGCCTCCTCCCTGAAGACTGGGTCTCATAGTTCTAGAAGATTCTCTGTAAGCTGCTAAGGGAGAAAAATCTCAGTTAGTGGTCCAACCTAGCTTCAAAGTCTAATAACCACAACAATGACTGGCACAACAAACTATATAGGTGCAGTAGTAGCACTTTTATCTTTCAGGCAGTCTACTAGCTATCAATTAGCTATCTAATTGGACTTAAAGCCCTCTCAATGGGCGGAAACGCCTATGTGGCACTGTAGACATAGCCACTGTACACATGACTGGAGAGATCAGCCAACTTTTATGTTCTTTACACTCACTTCTTTTCTTAGTAAGCTTTTCCTCTTAGCTTGTAAATTTATTATAGCTTTTTCTTTGACACATTTCTTAAAGTCTATGTGATCATTTATCTCTAACCCATCCTTTCTTTCCCAAGTCTGCTAGGCCTTTTCCTTTAAAAAAAATGTTTTTTAGTCAATATAATACATATACATACCTTTAAAAACTAAACAGCACTATAAGACTCATACTTTATAAAACCAAAATCTGTACTCTGACTTATCCCTGTACTCATTTACTGTAGAACTACAATATTGCTAAATGAGATGCTTATAGTTCTATTACTTGGTTTGTGAAGAATATATACTTGTAGAACTATGATGATTAACCAAGTGATACAATTGTTTACTACTAAGCCATGTATTAAACTCTAATTAAATAAAATTTGGCTGTAACTTTGTTTTTTGCTTGGTATTAATAGGTGTGACTTTATTTAGGCTTAAATTATTTTTTTGAGTTTAAATAATTTTTTTAATGTAATCATTGATCTAATCAGCTTGTACTATATATTTAGAAAACTTTATTTTAAAACACAGAAAAGACAGTAAAGTCTAGCTGTCTGAACTCCATCATTTTTCGTAAATACATTTTGAATGGTTTCTTTTTAGTGTTTTTTTTTTAAAGTATTTATTTAATAATCGCATGATTAGAAGAAGCATTTCATTACAGCATTAACATATTCAATAACAATTTCCAGAGCAAAGATGCATCTCTTTCAAAATTGGCTGTAAATTTTTAGGGTTACAGTTGAATTAATACAGTTATACAATATTGTACTCCATATAACCACCTTATGACATAAAATTAAATGAGGTTTTAAACTTTAAAAAAGATCTTCTCCATTTCATTTTAAAATACAGTTTCATACAGAAAAACTCATTTTTAATGCTACTAACACTTAGATGTTTACACATGCGTCTGTAATCTCTATGTATCTGATTGTTACTAGTCACAGTTGGTTACTTTCTGAGATCCACCCGAGCGTGGATATAAAATCATCAGGTAGATTTCAATGGAGAAAATTTTTATGATTCTTCCTCAAGTATAACTCTTTTTTTTTTAATCTGTTGATTTTATTTTGTGTGTGTATTTCATAAGAACATCCCAAACATTTTTATTCATCTATATCCCAACATCCCAAATGGCAAATGGTGCCCTCCCATATCCCCCCCACTGGAGCCCATATACTCTGTAATCCCTGTTACTGTCCACTTTGTTGTTGGCACCCTCAGATTGGGGGTCTGCTGTTCATTTTACCAGTTCTGTGCTGGGTTATTGTCTGGGAGTCTCTTGGGCCACTCTGGCCAACAACTCAAAGGAAGAAATCTTCTGTCTGGCATTGTTTCTTGTTATGTAGCCTTTAGCTACACATATGGACTCTTAAAGAATTATATTGATCCCTTTTGGGTGTTTAAGACCATACAGTTGGCCCAGATAAACTAATTTATTTTTGCTCTTAAGGTCGTTTGAGGATCTGTTCCTCAGGGGTCACATGGGCTTGGGAGGAGCCCCTGGCTCCTCTCTTTTACCAGTTCCATCTATGTGAAGATAAGTCGAAGGTCCTGCTCGACTGTGGCTGGCTTCGCTTGGAACAAGCATGGAGGAAATGTTTCCTCTGTGTTGACCTGCCTCTTTACAGACTGGACACTGGTTCAAGTCCATGTGGTGGGGTCTCTGTGGCCCGCTTGATCAAGAGGACAGGTGATGCACCACAGTTACAGGACATTTTGAGAGATGCTCATAGTCTCCTTGAACTTAGTCAACCTAGGAGGGCAAGGAGCAAAACCTGTCCTTTATGTCCCTGTGACCAAATTAGTATAGGCCTCAAAGTATGGCTGTTAGCCATCCAAGAAGGTTAGTTCCACCAGTCTGGTACTTTAAATTACCACGTGCTATGTAGGTAAAGCTTGGACAAAGATGAAACGTTCTCAGATAAATCTTGCCTAGACATGTATTATGTTCCTTGAGCTAGTTGTATGAATAGTTTGTAAGTAGGTTTTTCAGTTAATACGGTTCCCTCTGAGTTTTTAAAAATGAGCTAAGTGCTATTTATCTCTCGCATTGTCTAACCCTTCCACCATGGTTTCCCCATTTAAAGTGCCCCCATTTTTCCCATTTCTCCCTCCCTTAATAATACCCTTTCTATGGTCCCAACTCTTTTGAGCTCCTTCTTTCCCTTTATCCCCAAGGTTCCTTGTATAACCCTCCCTTCCCCCTCCCCTTAAAATAACCACAATTTTATCCATATCTCCCTTATTAATACCTGTTTCCTACAGTTCTTCTCTTTCAGATTTTTCTTTTCCTTTACCCTCCTGGTTCCTTTTCACTATCCTGGTTCCTGTAGTTATGTCTGGATACATACTCACTTCTAAGGATTTGGTGCTAGGATCCACAAATGAGGGAGAACATACACCGTTTTTTGTTTTTTGTTTTTTTTTCTTTGAGTCTGTGTTACTTCATTTAGTATAACAGTTTATAGTTCCATCCATTTACCTGCAGATTTCATGATTTCATGTTTCTTTACTCCATTGTATAAATGAACCACATTTTCATTATCCACTCGTCAGTTGAGGGGCACTTAGGTTGCTTCCATCTCTTTGCTGTTGTGAAAAGAGCAGCAACAAACATGGATGTACAAGTGTCTCTGCAATAGGATGAGTTCTTTGGGTATATGCCAAGGAGTGGTATAACCGGGTCATATGGTAGGTTCGCTTTTAGTTTTTTTTTTTTAAA